TTATATATATATATATATATATATATATATATATATATATATATATATATATATATATATATGTATATACCATGAAACATTAGTAATATTTATGTTCAATGTTTATCTATACTATTAAGCAGATGACTGTTTTGGTTTCTGCCCCTGAACTTTCTAGGAAATTACAAGATTTGCCTCTTTCTTTTTTTAAAATATTGCAAAACTGGACTTTTTTTTTTATTAAATGGGCTTCACGAAATATTAAATGGGCTTCACTAAATAGGCTTCAATATTTCAGATCTGCAAATGGGCTATAACATCTTCAAATGTTATAATCCTAAACCCTAAACTCTATTCAGATAATCCTATATCCTAAACTCTATTCAAACCCTATGCAAACCATATTAACAATCCAGTTCTCTAACCTTATTTTATGTACAGTAACTGAAATGTGATTTATAAATCAACATGACATATTGGATATCTTTTTTTAATAGGTCCGGTCTATCATACTCCAAAATACATAAACCAAACTAGATCAAAACATTTGGTTAGCTTCACCAAATACAAAACATTAACTATAGTATTATGTAAATCTATACCCCAACATTCCTAAAACTAAACCATAATAATAGGGGAACTGTTTGCCACCAAAACCCAGAAAATCCAACCCCTACCTAAATTTTTTAATATCATTTACAGATTAGTAAAATCGCAAAAATGCTATCAACAATATTTTTGATAATATCTTATTCTTATAGTATATTCTAAAAATTCAGATTTAAATTAGAAAACATTTAATAAATAATTATTTTTAATTTTTTTGACTAACAACTCACGGACACTTTAAAATTTGATTCCGATGGTATATTCTAAATTCGTTACGAGCTGTTTAACTATCTAATTTTATGCATAAAAGTAATATCTGACTATTATTTAAAATCCTTAAGAATGCATTAAATCGTTTAGCTTGGCCATGAAGAATCTCTATATAATAACTACTCAAAAATATTTTTTCTTTAAATCGTAGATATTATAAAGATTCCTGTACCAAACGAATTGTAAATATTGCTAAGATATGTAAATTTTCGTTAGCAATATAGTTTTAAATATTTTTGCTTGATCAATACTCTAGGGATTTCCTAAACTGAATCCGAATATACTAAAGATTTTGTTTAAGCGTCAGTTAGAAGCCATCGACTAACCTATTGCTATATAAAAACCCATAGAGTGCGAAAGTTTTCTCAAATCTATTCACAGCTACATTAGCTACAAATAAAATCCATGCCTCTTGCAAGAAGACTTACATGGAAAATAAAGGACACCTTCTTCCTGTTGGAGCATGGAGACACATTCAGAATTATAGCCTCAGTCCTGCAACCGGATCCTATCGAGCAACCGATCATTCCTACAAAATGAGTATCGTCAATAGTACAAAAACACAAGATCTCTTCTTGTGAATGAAAACATGTTCCTAAGTTTGGTAGACTTTCCGTCTGTTTTGAGTGGATCACTCAACCCAAATTTTCTCAATCGTAATTTTACATCAATGTATTTTATTATATTTTCAATAACTGAAACGCTATTTTTTTAAAAAAATTTGCAGATGTGATTGGTCAGGTTATGGACTTGGGAGTGCTTGAAACTATCCAAGTCGCAGTGAAGTTTACACCTCGCGACATCAAGTAATTTTTTTATCTCACGTTTATTATTTTGAGTGATCCTTCAAGTTCATATTAATTCAATACTTATTCTACTTTTAATAATAGTGACTCTCGTGTTTCCTGCTGTGTGAGATCCTCTATGAGGGTTGCAGTAAAGAAGAAGAAAGAAAAGTCATATACCTAATCAGGTTTGTAAGGATCGGGAGATTTAGAGGTATAAACTTTTCTTATCTATTAAATTAAAAAAAAAGTTAATAGATAATATTATTTTCAAGTGGATGTTAATTGTATTATAATATGCTTACCTATATATTCGCTGCAGGTGAACTCCAAATCACCAATGCATTTGAGGCATCACAGCTCTTGATTAATCCTGCAATTTCAGAGACTGATGCCTTCAACAAATGTGATGTTTCATTCATCTTTAAGATTTTATCTTCAGTCTATATAGGTATTTTCTTGAACATGATTTAATTATGTTATTTATACACATATTAATAAACTAATCACGCTGTATTTATATGGAAACTAGGATTTATAATAATGTGAAAGAAGACAAAGTATCTGGAAATAACTTATCTTTTATTTTAAATTCATGTTCTCTTTATAGAATAAAGAAATCCATAATCTTCGTATTTTGAATATTAATATTTTCTCTGAGGGTATATTATTCCTGAAAGGAAAAAAAATTCACCATTTTTAAGACGCTTAAACACGGATACTAGAGCTGTAATTAATAACTTTAACAGTAAATAGAAAATGTCAAAAGAATCTTAGGCTTTCTTGCCACTGTTATTTGGCTTTTGTTATTCAGATTTTTTTTGAATCAATTTTCATTAACTATTAACTATGGATCAAAAAGAAAGATGCGAAATCAGATTTACCTTTTTGTGCTCTTTCAAATCTTCTTAGGAATTTGTCAAAGAGACCTGAAAAGGTGAAGTTCTTCAACCATCTCAAACTCATCGTGTTTTTCACGGATGCCTTCAGATCCAACATGCATAACAAGTTAAAAAAAAACAAGTAAGATTTTCTTTTAGATTTTTATATCTGCTAAAAGAAAAAATAGAGAAAATCACCAAAATAGATTGGAAAATGTGAAGTTCTTTGATTTGCTGCCATCGATTTGCACCTCTTCAAGCAGTCGTTTCCATCTTTAATTACCACCACAAGTAAGCCGCCGCCGTTCATATCATGAGTGCTCTAGCTTCGATTAAAGCTTGGCCATGGAAATCGTCTTTCGATAAAGAAACATCGAGACATAAAATTTTGTTCTTTCCTTTTCTGTTTTTTTTTTTTTTTAAAAGTGTTTGGTCATCGACCACACAATTTGTCATCGGTTCAGATGTTTTTACTTTGGGCCATTCGGGCCGGGATTAGTATCTTCTGTATTTCAAGTTCTTATTTCTATGTGCAATTCGGGCCCATTATAAATATTGGGTTTGTATTAACAAACATAATTAAACATATGATTATTAGTTTTTACTTTTTAAATCTATGTTTAGACATTCCTAAAATATCTTAATATCATAATGAAACACGTAAATATTTATTTAGAGCTTAGTACAAATGTATGTTAACAACAAAATTGTTTATAAAATAACTTTAGCAAAACAAAATCTCATCATAAATATTTATTGAATAGAATATAAAACTTTTAATCCTATCACATCATCACTTCAAATTTTGTAAACATCATAATTTATTTAAGAAACAATTATAAATAAAGATGATATTTTTTTCAAAAAAAGAACATAAAGATGCTAATTTTATGTTTGCTAAAAAATAAAAAAAAAATATGAACATATTACATCTCAATTATTTTCCAATTTTAAAAGAAATTTAAAAAGGAAAACTCACCCGCGCTTTGAAAGCGCGGGCCAAAATCTAGTAAACTATTATTATCGATTGATTATAATTTATTTCTCTTGCACAACTACCTAGATGATATATATACCATAGATTTTAATAGTATTGATCCTTACAAATGCATACCAAAAATACAAAGCATTTATATTTATCAAAAATTAAATCCTTTATTCAGTTTTATGTACTATTATAAAGTATATGAGAAATATAATCAATAAAAATATTATAATATTTTGCTGGATTTTTACCAGGTAACCAATGTCGGTTCACTGATTAATAGCGGAGTTATCGGTTAATCAGATTTTTCATTAATATTTTTTATAAATTTGAAGTTTGTGGAAATATATCAGTTGGTAGAACATCTGATAGAATGTTAAATGAAGAACATAAGCTATTTCAATTATGTACCGCTACCGAATTTACCGGTCGATTGCATGTCTGGATAGAATATAAAAATATTGCTTATATCTTAATTCGTCTATAAACCATATATATCTCCTACTAAAAGGAGTTAAATAATTTGTAAAAAAAAATAGTTTCTTCGCACTTAAATATGCATTATTAGACTTCAACATTCGATTTTGGTTCGGGTATTTAAATTTTGGTTTTGGACTAGATATTTAGGATCCGTTGATGTATTTACAATGTTTGGTTAAGTTTCAGTTGGGTTATTTCGCTTTTTGGCTGGTTCAGTAGCAAAGTTGGGAACCAATTAATATGCAACAGAAAAAATATTTGGGTCTTTAATTCCGTTTCAGTTCTGATTTTTCGGGTAACTACAAATTTATAGATAAAAGTATCATATAATTTGGGGTTCTCAGTTTAAATATCGGATATTTTGGGTTCTTGAATAAAAATATCAGATAATTTTATTATGTTGAATAATAAAATATTCGAGTGGTTCAGGTGTTTTGAACTATTCGGTTGATAAATAGTATTTTTTTAGGACATTAATTTGGTTATTAGAATTTAAATATAATTGATATTTGTAAGTATATAATTTGTATTTTAAAATTTTAGGTACTTATCTTGTACTCGGTTCAGTTTTGATTTTTCAGTTTCATAAATATATGATCTGTTCGATTATTTTT